AATCTGTGGAGTGTTTTTAAGTTTGATGAAGCTATTTGGTAGCCAAATCTACCCTAAATATATGATAGATTGTTACAGCAGTTCTCAAACTTTTTGGTCTCAGAACCTGTCTTAGTCCTTTTTCTGTTTCTTATAACAGAGTACCTGGAACTGGGTAATTTATAAAGAAATTAAATTTATTTCTTACAGTTCTTGAGACTAGGAAGTCCAAGATCAGATGGCTCCATCTGGTGAGGGACTTCTTGCTGGTGGGGACTCTGTGGTGTCCAGAGGTGGTGCAGGGCATTGCATGGCAAGGGGACTGAGTATGCTAACGTGCTAGCTCGGGTCTGTCTTTCTCTTCTTATAAAGTCACCAGTTTCATTCCCCTGATAACCCATTAACCCATTAATCCATTAAAATATGAATGGATTAATCTTTTCATGTGGGCAAAGCCCTCGTGATGCACTCACCTCTGAAAGGCCTTACCTCTCAATACTGCCACAGTGGGGATTAAGTTTCAACATGAGTTTTGGAGGGGACATTCGAACCATAGCACAACTCCATTACATTCTTTAAAGTTATTGTCTGTGTGTTATATATCTATATTGGTATTTGCCATATTAGAATTTAAAGCTGAGAAATTTGAAAAATATTTATTTACTTAAAAACAACAATAATAACCCAATTGCATGTTTAACATAAATAACATATTTTTTAATGGAAAATAAATGTATTTTCCAAAACCAAAAATAAGTTAGAAGAGTGGAGTTGTTTCACATTTTTGCAAAGCTCTTTACTGTCTGGCGTAGTAGAGGGCAACTGAGTTCTCATATCTGCTTCTATAATTCAGTCTGTTTCTGCATGTTGTTTTTGTTGAAGTATATGAAGTAAATCTGGCCTCACCAAATATGTAGTTGAAAAATAGAGGAATCTTTTCAGATAATGGTGGATATTCTTCTCTGATACTACAGGAAAAACTTGACAGGTGGTAGTTTCTTAAAGATAGTTGCAGTGTGAAATTTGAAACCATATCAGTGGACTTTTCATGCTCTGTTATGTTAAAACCTATTGGTCTTTCCTAAACTTTGAATGGGTCTTCGATCCGTGCCTGATTTGTAACATGCATTGCCATTTGGAAAATATTGGTGCAATGAGTTATGCAAACATTCCAAATATTAACACATTTCATTATACAGTATTAAAAAGCACATTTGTTAATATCACCACCAATACAGAAAAGTCTTCTAAGTATTGAGAAACTGTGAGACTGACAGTGGCAGAAATCTGTTTTCCAAAATTTAAGTTTTTACTTATAAGCTCAAATTTTATCATTAACAACAAACTTTGTCAATTGTTTTTCTTGAAGCAACAAACTCATTTATTTTCAGAAAGAAGCCGTAGTCTCAATTCTGAATAATCAGTTTGTCGATTGTTTTTCAAGTAAAACTGCTCTGTGATAATTGTATAAGTGCTTTTCCTTGAAACAACCATCTTTCTTTGGTATGCAACAGAAATGTTCCTGTGTCAAATATAATGTTAGGAAAGATGTCTACTCAGGTTGAAATTTAATAAGATTGATCCAGGGTGGTACTAGGGTGAGAGAATGTGTGCTTCCCATATTGTCAAATATAATGTTAGAAAAGATGTCTACTCAGGTTGAAATTTAATAAGATTGATCCAGGGTGGTACTAGGGTGAGAGAGGTCCCTGTGGTACAACACTTACGAAGGCAGGAACTGAGAGTGAGTGCCTCTACATTTCGTACCGTAGGTACCTCATGTGCCACACCCTGGTCCGGGCCCTGAGATTAATAATTATTACTGCTTTATCAGGGACATTCTTTATTATTTTTCCAAGTTTTTTATTATGTTGACATACACCTAACAAAATTTAACCTCTTTACCATTTTTAAGTTTACAGTTCAGTAGTGTTTAATACATTCATAATGTGCAACTGTCACCACCATCCATCTTTGTAACTCTTTTAATCTTGTAAAACTAAAACTCTGTACCTATTAAACAATAACTCTTCTTTTCCCCGTTCTTCCATCCCCTGGCAACCACCATTCTACAGTCTGTCTGTGATTTTGACTACCTTATATAAGTGGAAGTATATAGTGTCTTTTCGTGACTGGCTTTTTTTCCTTAACATAATGTCCTCAAGGTTCTTCCATGTATCAGATTTTCCACATGTGTAGCATGTGTCAGAATTTCTTTCTTTTTGAAGCTGAATAGTATTCCACTATACACACACACCATATTTTGCTTACCCATTCATCCATTGATGGGCACCTGCGGTGCTTCCATGTTTTAGCCGTTGTAAATAATGCCGCTGTGAACATGGGTGTGCAAATATCTCTGAGACCCAGTTTTCAATTTTTTCTTGCTATATGCTCAAAAGTGGAATTGCTGGATTATATGGTAATTTTATTTTTAATTTTTTAAGGAACCACCATGCCATTTTCCACAGCAGCTATACTATTTTATATTCCCACCAGCAGTGCACAGGGTTCCAGTTTTTCCACATTTTGTAACACTTATTATTTTTTATTTTTTTTATAGTAGCCATTCTAATGGGTGTAAGGTGGTATCATTGTAGTTTGGTTTGTGTTTTCCTAATGAGTGTGATCATCAAAGACATTCTTAAGTAAGACTGAAAAAAAATTTTGTCTGTTAATTGCTAGAGCATGGAAGTGAAGAATACACTGTTTGGCCTTGGGGCCAGTATCTTGATTTCTGCTAAGAAAGAGAAGTTGTGCTCATCACTGCTGTTTTTTCCCCCTTCTCACCATTGCTTTTGCATTATCAGTGCAAATGTCAACACAGTGAAAAAGACAAAGAATGTTTTAGTATTAATATGAAAATAATTTTAATATCACAGACTCCTGGGTTCGTAGACCTCTCAGACATGCTAGGTTATCGGTATATGTTCTATTTTGCTTTATTGTTGTATTGTCATATTTAGATTTATGCTTTTCATTTATCTGTTTTGGTACCTGGAACTGTTAAAAAATTAATTTTATTTAACTTAATGGTTAGCTAGAAGGATTGGGTAAAGTTCTGAAGACTGCTTCT